ACGATCCTTCGCAGTAAAGCACTATTTGAGCAATAGTGAAAATCAGACCTGAAAAAAATTTCAGGCCTGTACGGGATTCGAACCACTGACCTCTGCGATACTAGTGCAGCGCTCTACCAATTGAGCTAACAAGCCAACTGGGAGCAGGCCATCAAATTAATTCGACATAAACCCGTAGATGATAAATCAAACAACAACAAACATATGAAACATATGTGTGAACTGCGGTTATGAGACGTATATGAGCACGATCCTTCGCAGTAAAGCACTATTTGAGCAATAGTGAAAATCAGACCTGAAAAAAATTTCAGGCCTGTACGGGATTCGAACCACTGACCTCTGCGATACTAGTGCAGCGCTCTACCAATTGAGCTAACAAGCCAACTGGGAGCAGGCCGTTAAGTTGATTCGTAATAAACCCGTGATGATAAATCAGATACAATGAATATATGAAGTTCATATATTTTGAACTGCGGTTGTAGATACGTATAATGTACGATCCTCGCAGTAGAAAGCGCTATTTATGTAATAGCGAAAATCAGACCTGAAAAAAATCAAGCAAAAACTCACAACAAGAAATCAGGCTTAAATTTCCTTCACGATTACGTAGAAATTTCAGGAAAATTAAAGTTGAAAAATTTTAGTTCAAAGGTTCAAAAACGGTTCGAAATATCTTTTGTAAATAGAGGTACGCCATGTGCCTCACAAAAGAACGAGAAGGTTCCGCATTGCTTTTTTTCAGGTATGCAGAAGACAACCACAGAGCTGATTGCCGCAACTTCCATGAAGTACTGCTGTTGAACATGTCTAGACATGCAATTACTCAGCTGCCAAGATAAATCGTTTCGGATAAATAATCCTCTAACGGGGGCTTTGGGAGTGAAATTCTTAAGGCTCTAAAAAAAAGTGTTCAAATTTTCTATCCTTTCTTCTGTTACAAAAGGCAAGAAAGATCAACGATTTTCACTACGTGCGAGGAGTGAGAAACAGCAGCACAAGGCGGAAGTTATGGAGAAGTCACCCGTGACAAGTCAATGTCATTGCCTACGTACAAAAAATTTCAATAACCGCATGATGTATAACACGAACTTCTTGAAGCATATCATCATCACGTAAAAATTTTGGGGAGCTTTTATCTCTGATGAAATCTAAATATTTGAGAAATTTTATAATATGACAAGGAACAACATTCTGCCTCAACGCAACCCCGTGCACAATTTGCCATAAAACGTTCAGCAACTTTCCCACTTTGAAGCTCCAACAGACTCCTTACTGTTAGGTCTGTAATTGAGAAAGACACCTTGCTATTCTTGGTTTTCACGTAACGTCAGCAAAGTTAGAAAATAAGGAATTATCAATTCTTTTGAGATTTTAGTTAAGTTAATTAAAAGAACAGCTAAAGACTTATCGTTACACAAATTTTCAGCTTGATAGGGTCTTTCGTCTTGTGATGAAGCAAGATTGGATTTCTATGCTTTTGCGTTACACGAAATTAAAATGGCAGCCGAGAATACTGTCGCGTAGGTTAAAAAAAAGTGACTTATCCGCTTAGATTTCGCAATCTGAACAGTCCTTGTGTGAGAATAAGTCCTCGTGTAGATGTTTATGAGCCCTCAGAGGACGACTTCAGGACTTTTTATGGCAAAACTCAGAGGGACATTAATGTGGCGTCTCCATTTAAAGTTTTATGAGTTTGAGTACAACATTTGTTTTAATATCTCCCGCACGAAACATCGCACAGACCTGCATCTTAATGATACTGTCAAAATGATGATAATGATTGTGTGAGAGTGAAAATAGGTGATTCGTTATTACAATTATTGATTGAGACTCCAAATGGTTCGTAAAATAAATTCTGTGGTTCTACTAACTACCTGTTATGGCCTCTAGCAAAATTTTGAATGGGTAAAGTTTACAGAGCATTAATTCCCGAGCATACTGAATGAAAATCTATCATTGTCAGTACAAATTCTCCGAATTTTTTGACGTCATAAAGGTGAGTTTTCCGCTGAATAAGCATCATACACGGGTAAATGTGAAGTTTTTCAAAACTGCTATACTATTACTCATACAAAGTTAAATATCAGCTCAACTAGTTTATCCTGAGTCTGTTTTGCACATGTAGCAATGATTTCAAGGACAGTTTATATATGATTGGTTTGTTAATTAGTTTCTGCAGTGCCAGTTACTGTTGAAAATCATCTGCCGACTTCAGCTATTTCAGGAATTCAAGCTATTTCTGAGAGATGCGGGTTTTCTGCTGCACTTATAACGAGCGAGCATAATCTGCAATTGTTTTTCTTCCATGCGATGACAGATATCACTTCAATTGCACGAGAAACCAAACAAAGTCCTCATAATGGATCAAGCTAGAACAGTGTTAGGGTTTGCCTTGGTTTTGTTAACTGTATACCGTCAGTTGAAGAGTCCGCTTAGATACGAGTAGTCCGTTGAATCAAATTATGTGTAAACTGACAAGTTATTGGTAAAAGTGGAAACTTACTGTTTGTTACGATGCAGAAAATGGATAATGCGAACATGGTCTTTCCGTAGCACATCATCGCATGTTCGAGCTAGTTCGTCTCATACCCAATGTCACACGCAGATGACCATCACCACACTTGACAAAATGAATGAGATTGGTGCTCGCGTCTAAGCAGAGATGACGTAAGATTTTAAATGGACTAACCGAAACCAATCAAAGTAAATGTGATGAAAATCAAGCGACCAGACAGGCAAATAATCGATCAGTTATGTCAATGAGTCGCAGATGTGGCCATGAAGCTGCTTTTTTTACTAAAAAGAACATGTACGAAATCACCTCATGCAGTCCAATGCCCTGCAAAGTGCTTTTGACCACTTGATTGGCAAAGTCACTATCTGTTATAGTGATTTGTTACTTTCTAGGCAAGTCAGCACTTTATGTTTCGATCTCAGCTCGCGGCATTTAAAGATCGTTTTGGCGCGAGATTATGGATAGCAGCTAAAGGATTTGTGATTTGTCATTTTCTTCTAAGCAGGTGGTTGCATGCATGTAGGATGTCAAACCAATCGGAAAAATTCTCTAACATATGGAATGGTAAACACGGTAACCTTGATTCCTTTTTAATTCCAATGAGTAGCATCTGTGTTAATTACTTTTCTTGTGATCCTCAGTATGCCACCTTGTCTACACCCCAACCGGGCTAAGACCGTTCAAATGAAAATCACGTTATCTGTAACAGGCGATGTTACACAATATCACAAGGGTAAAAGTAAGGAAAGAGTTTTAGAAATCTCCGTAATAAAATTTGTTTGCATTAGACATGGATATGAGGTATCGCGATCTGCAATAAGTTGGTAAGGTAAATGTTCAAACTTTAGAGCTTGCATGACAAATGGTAATCTAATGGTTTAGCGGTTATAAATTATTTTCGGTGCACGAGATCAACGCTGCTGTTTACAATATATGTGCGCAATGTCTGCGGCATGGGAAAGAGCCGGCTATAAAGGCTGTGCCCGTCATCTATAGACTTTAAACTTAAAGCAGAGGCGTGAATAAGGAAAAGGCCATTTAATGGACACGTCATTTAACTCCAAGCAAGGGAATATTAAATGTACTCTCTTGACTCCAAACAAGTGCGCCTTCACAGTAGTTTTAAACAAGGGCTCCTATACAGCATTGCAATCAAACAAATTCATTCATTAATAATAATCATCTTTATTGAGGAAACTTTTTCATAACAAATATGGTTTTCACGTCAGAGCAAGTGGCAGAGCGAGGAAAATTTGGGCCAATGACAATAAATTTAAGAAAAAAGACAGCCATGGCAACCTATTAAACTGACCTTGAATTTCGAAAGGACTACAGCGCAAGTAAATGTGCAATGGTCTTAACATCTGGTACAGTCCTCAACGTTTGGATTAAAATAATAAACCTCTGTTGACTAATAAACCTGTTGTGTGTTTCTATTGAAAAAATTTGGCTCGGGATACAGATTAATTGTTTCCTCCTCGAATGTAGTAGCATACTAGGAAAGGTATAAATATGCTGGCAATCCAGCTGGAAAATTCCTCAACATATGGATTAATTAACCTCTTTTAACTAAGCATTTTGTCGTGTATTCCTACAAAAAAAGGCACCCAAAGAAACAGTGTAGTTTGTCAAAATTGTTCCTCTCAGGAGGACTTCACAAAACATGAAAACCAACTTGCTCTAAAGTTTACATTTGAACTAACAGTTGTTGTGCATATCTGTTGAAAAAGAATAAACTGCATAGTACATCAGTCTGGATTTCAATTTTCGACCAAACAACCGGCGAAGACATTTATTTAACCAAACAGGGATGTAATGCGGTAATGGTGTGAGCTGATGTCACAGATCACAGGACAGGTTGGCCGACTTTGCCGGCGGATACGAAACGAGCTCTGCTCAATAGTGCGACAATGGAATAAGTCTTTCTACTTCGTCATAGAAGCTGACTGGAAAGAAACTCGATAGCCCAGTAGCCACTGATATATTTGTATAGGAGGAAAGCTCTGCAGCTTTCATAATTAGGACTTTCGAAACCAGCAAAGAAGATAGCTAAAATGCAAAATCGCGAAACCGCATTTGTGAACATAACCTAGTTAATATCCTTGCTCACCGAATCGTGCATCCAAATCCGATCGCACTCACATATGAACCTAGCCGAAATATGGTCACTCCAACAAATCCTGGAAGGATGGAGCATGAGGAAAGTCAAGGTTCGAAAACTCGTATGGATCTCAGATAGCTTAGAGTTTGTTTTCTTACTGCGCGTTAGAAATCGGTAGGAATCGCTTACTACTACAGGTTAGAATCAGTGTAAAAAAAACTTTAGACAAATTTTCAAGAAAAATACGGTGAAACGAAAGGATCAAACGAGCGTAGCCCGAAGCAGCTAACGTATGTGCGTGGGAAAGCTCTGGTCGCCAACTTCCTGTAGCTTTAATACTAATGACTTTCGAAACCAGATATGCATAATCGCGAAACAGCTTTCTACAATGTGAACAAAGGATGGGCTCGCTCATCGAGTCGCGCAACCAAATCCGACCGTCTCAGGGGTACAAATATTACTGCATGTTAGAAACGGATAGCAATGGTTTACTACTATTGGTTGTAATGAGTCGGTAAAAGATCTTTAGACAAAACTAGCGAGAAAAATTCGGCGAGACAAAAGAGGCAAGCGAGTTCCATCCTTAACAATGCCTTTGCCGATGATTAATTCCAAGCTTATTCGAAATATTCAGAATAAACAAAATTTATGGGGCTGATATAGTTACCACCATACACTTCTTAACCTGCTCCGTTAAAGACGCAAACATATGAACAAAACAAAATAGCCAAGTAAAGATTTATTCGATTCGGAAAACTATGCGTCATATAATCTGTGGCGAATCAGGCGCCTCTGTGCGAGGCAAAATGCTGCAGTGGTAAATGAGTATATGAATTTGGCATAGGTATTGCCTAAAAGAGTGTAACAGAATACATGCCTCTAATCAGGTACCGAAAGAAGCTCTACATTTCTTGTGAGTTTCTATTATCACGAGCCATGCACTTCGACGGTTAGCTATAAGCTTGTTCTGCTTCACCTTCTATCACGCGACATTTTAATCTCGCTAATGATACAGCTCAGGGGTAATCTGTAGCATATGGTGCATGAAAAGAATGGTTTTAATTTTTCAAATAATGTACATTTAAAAAAGTCAGACCAAGCTCGTTCTAAGTACACCTTATGAAACATCCAAACGATCTTAATTGCCGTTTAAATCTTTAATGTGAATATTCCCACTCACCATTTGTCAGAGCTAGCAGCGTCAACCACAGATTCATCCCCTCGGTAACTTTTTTGCGTGCGTTGGATCAAGATTTAGAAGAGGCTTTTTAGGTTATAAATTTCAATCCGTTGCCTTTTTAGCCAGCAGACCAAGTAGATGCACGCTCAGTTCAACCGAGCCATATTCTGAATAATCGCACGGTGAAATGCGCATATTATTTGGCGTGAGGAAAAATGCAAATATTTTGGAACAAAGCGATAGGATAACATATTCATAAACACAAAGAAAAAGGTTTGTGAATCATCTGACGACAATATGATAACGCATGTTAATCTACACTTGCATGACAGCTATTTCATATCAGCATGTCACAATTGTACACTTCTGTCGGTTTCATAAGTTACTTAAAGTTCTTTGCACAAATTTCAAGTCAAAATCCTAAAATCATGTCGTCGTCTCGATGTAGTTTAGAGTGATTTTAGAAATCAGTTAAAAAACAAAACAAAACGTGATCGAAACCATGACGAGCCAAGCCTTGGAGTATTTGACAAATGTGCTAGCTTCAAAACTGATCTAGCTAAAGTTTCTTAGGCAGTGGTTGACGCTGTTATTTAATTTTTGCTCTATAAATTTTTCATCGACTCCTAAAACGTCAAAAAAGACTATAGTTCCAAAACAGTGCTCATTCCATGTGGTTGTATATGGAAAAATAACTAATCGAAAGGCTAGTGGCTGTATTGTTTTTCTGTCGTTGACTGAGAACAGGAAAATTGTATATTAATGGTTTAGTGCATTAATCATTTCACAGTTACTCGCCAAAGGCGAAGTGAATATTCTTTGATAATCCTCGAGACGAAGTTTAGGGACCGGATTTTTTAACATTATTAAAAACTGGATCATTGGATAATGCAATTCAAGACTTTTTATTGGCTTAGCGATTATGGTATATGAGCCAATATACCATAATCTACAAATGTGGTAAGCGTACGATTCAGCTTAAAATTAAAAGGGAGCTAAAAAATTTGGCTAATATAAAGATTTGCCTAATATCTTGGAGGCGTTTTTGATAAAACAATTATTCCACTCGCGCTTGTTGGATATGAGATGATTATAGCCAACTCGGCGCTAAGTGCCTCGTTGGCTATTTATCATCTCATATCCAACGCGCGCTCGTGGAATAATTGTTAAATATTCAACGAGCCTGAGGCGAATAATTGTTTTAATGTAACTACTCAGGTGCTTGTATTTTCGGTTTGTTGTTGAAACCATTCTGTTACAATTGTTTTGTCACCAGCATCGGGATAAGCAGGCACTCTTTATCTTATTCGATCGGCAAAAAATTCATTTCTTTCTTTTGATGAAGCCGTCGTGAAAGTTAGCGCTTCTACTATAATCAACTCGCACGAGGTGATTATCGCTAGATATGACGCAATCCTCAATCCTCAACCAATCAGAGCGCTCACATCTCTATAATCACTGGAACAATAATACTAAATTTAATTATTATAATTATTATTAATTATGATTATTATTATAACCATTATTAATTATTATCATAATTAATATTATTAATTATAATTGTTATTACAATTTCTACAAGTACTTACGAATTCCTTTTTTTGATTTTTATTTCTTTTCTCTGGGTGAACAAATTTTGAACGCTTTGGATTTATCCATCTTCGGACGCAAGACTCGTGACAGTAAACTTGTTTTAACCTGAGC